AATTTGTATGAAGTAATTAAAACTCAAAAAAAGAAGTCTATTACAGATGAGATAGGTATTGATATCATTAAGAATCTATTTCATGTACTTGGTTATCCATTACTTAATTTAATAAATACTAGTTTAGATAAGGTTATTGTTCCACAGAGATTTAAAACATCAACAATAATTCCAATCTCAAAAATAGCTAATACAAACAAGGCAGATCAGTTCCGACCTATAAATATGCTTCCATTTTGTAAAAAAACTTTTAGAAGTAGTTGTGTATAATCAAATCATGGATTTTATAACTTCAATCGGGCTTTAGGAAAGCAGATTCTTGTGAGTCGGCCTTACAATTAGTTGTTTCAGATATTAAAAATATTCTTTGTAAACCTGGAGTTGGTATCTACCCAGTTTTTATTGATCTTAAACGTGCATTTGAAACGATTGACCGTAACATTTTACATCAAAAATTAAAAAGAAATATGAACTTAGACTTAGGAAAACTGTCTATGATTGATTGTATAATTACTTATTAAATAGATATCAAGTAACTAAAATTAATAATGAGGTATCAAATCCAGAATTAAATACTTTTGGGGTGCCGCAGGAAAGCGTGCTTGGACCCTTACTATTCATATTTTATATAAATGACTTGGGATAGGTTCTTAAAAAATTTAAAAAACAACATTTTGCAGATGACACGTTCATCTATTATTATGGGGATGATTTTTCTGAAGTTGCTGAGACTGCCAACCATAAATTGGGGTTATTAACATCTAAATTCAAACAAAATAAATTTAATTTAATTTAAAGTTAATGAGATGAAATCAAAATTTATGTTCATTGGTAACAACTCTCTATACAATAGATTTTTGAATTTAAATTTAAACATTAAAATAAATATCGAAACAGTAGAAATGGTCCAAGAAATAAAGTATTTAGGGGGTTATGTTGGATAGAAAACTAAAATTTAATAAACACATTGAGTATATCTGTAAAAAAGTAAGAACAAAAAATAGGATTTTTACGAAGAGTGTCACTGTATCTATCAAGTGTCTGGCTGAATGCCAAAAAAAAAACTAAAAAAAAAAATTCAACTAAATTGACTGTATATAATACACTTATTTTATCCCACTTTTACTAGTGCTGTTTTTTTAATATATACAGGATGTTCCAATTTTGATAGACTACAGGTCCTACAAAACAAAGCGATGCTAGTTATACTAGGTTGTAACAAATATACCAGTATTCAGTTTATGTTAGACGCCTTAAATTGGCTAAGTGTTGAAAAACTGCTATATGTACAATCATTTTTATATTTAAAATAATAAACAATTTGTTGCCAAAATATCTTAACTATCAACTAATCCCGGTCAAAAAAAATACATCAAAGAAACACAAGAGCAGCAAACTCTTATCAAATTTTTTGTACAAACAACTAATAAAAGTAGTTCTATGAAAAGCTTATTTTATAAAGGGATCGATCAATTCAATCATCTCCCTCAAAATTTTAAAAATGTTTAGAATCCTAGTCAATTTAAGAAAGAACTTATTATTTATGTTAAAAATAATTTATGACTTATCTGGTTGAAAATTGTTCTTTTTCTCTTTTCTTTTCTTTTCTTTTCTTTTACTTGTTATACTTTTAACCAATTTGTCATATTAAATACTCACATCACTGTCTCTTTTATTCTTTTGTTATTCTCTTTCTTTTTATTATACGTATGAGGGACAATTATGTTATGTTAACTTTTAAATCTTATGTTTACTTTTATTTTAAATTAATTATGAAGTTCATGTTTATATTGAATTGTTGGTTTATTTCAAATTATTGTATGATATTATGTTTGATAAGTAAAGTTACTTATTATTATTATTTAAATTACAATTTCTACTACTTCAATAATTACTTTATCTATAAAATGCCAACAATAATTAAAACTAAGTTGTTTATAACACTCAGCCGCTTTATAGCAGAATATTATAGAAAGATTTTATCTTTTTATATCTACGTACCTTCTTATTAAACAATTATAAACAGGTCAGACATATTCTTGAACTCGATTTTATTAATTAAATTGTTTTAATCATTTAAACATGGCGTTTACGTTCGACAAATTATTTTCAAGGATTTTTCTTTTGATGTTCAAATGATTTTTCAGGCTATAAAGTTCATTCGTTTCACTGATTCATAATTTATAAATAGTATTTCAATTGGGAGCATTCTTTTAATTTGCTTCAATAGGTTTGTGTATCATTCTGGAGAAAAATGTGTTAGATCATTATGTTTTTATTATGCAATTTTATTTAAACACATTTGTAAGTTGCTGAAATGATGACTTAATGGTCTATGCGTATGGATTTGACCCAATTAATAGAAAGTAAATATTATTTATCTACGACCAGTTAAAATGTTTATATTATAAAATTCGTAGGGCCATTTGCAGCGCTAGCCATTAAGAAATAACTTAATCTTAAAATGAAAATTTTCAGTCTATTTTTTTTATAATGAAAATAGAGATAAAAGCAAAAGTACAATAATTATCCGACGATGCAGACCGTTTTCTAGCGATGCGCTTTTGGGCTAATCAGAATGTATCTTCTCTCAAAAATTCGTTGTATATCTTCTGTCTCGTTCGTATTAATGTTCTTAATATAAATATAGACACCCTTAAAGATTTTTCATCCCGAATAGTGAACGTTATCGGGAATATGTGTCGATTACACAGATTTATTGATGCTGATGTACGCGGACGAACTGTAATCCTCTCTGACAGTGAGATTGCAGTTAAAAAAAAATGAAAATACCGAAACAATTTAATGATTAGCACTGTTAATGTGGAAAAACAAAAATCTTTTTATTTCGACAATATAATTATGACCTCAATTCCAAATTAAGGGGACATATATACTAGACTCACCGGCACGAATAACTGGCATCCCAATAATTTTTGATTAAAATGTCAACGATAGGCACGGATCGATACATGCTTTTGAAGTATGCTTTGTTTAAGTAATGTTTGCGGAAAGCTTTTATTTCGAGAAAATCACGCCTGTAAACATTAACACAAAGAAAAGAAATTTATTAAAAGTTAGACAATTATCATCAGAAACAACAAATAATTTTAAAAAATCAGTATATATCACTTGTCTGTCTAAATAATAGTGGTGGACGAATCTCAATTTTTAACGGATCGTGGATCCTTTAAAAAAAATCCGGGTCTATATTTTCAAAAGAACAATATTACCTGCTGTAGAAAACACCCTTTCAGAAAGTGTGGAGGTCGCAGGAATGGAGAGGAATTTAATAAATTTGGAAACAGTTTTTCATTTGCTATTTTTGTGGAGATCTTGCTCTTTAGTACCTGACAGTTTTGTGAAAAGAAAATTCAATACACTTGAGCTTTCCACAATTTATTCTTCTTCATTTTGATTGGTTAATCTGGCTAGCGCCTGTTCCAAATATATAATTGCATTTTCTATATTTTTAGACAAAGTGCTTTTAAATCTACTGTCAAAAATTGAAGCCGTGTCAAAAATTGTTAAATTTGCATTTTCTAAATTAAACAAGGGTCTTGTATTTATTTCTTTAACAACTGTAGTTTTAAAAAATTTACAGATTTACATAGTAAATCGCCTTCGCTTATAACTATGACATTTGTCGCAAAACACGTCTTAAGAGGTTTTGCCATCGACAAAGTTACATATTCTTTAGCTGATAGTAATGTAGTATCTTTTTCAAACAGTTCAAGTATCTTAACAAATTTTTTCATAGTAACCAAATCTTCTTTATTTAGGCTTAAATTCGAAGCAGTTATAGGCCTATCTATTAAAACAGCATTGATAGCCTGCCGTCTAAACATGTAGAACGTGGAGTTCCATCGTGTATTAATAATTCTCTGTATGACTTTATGTTGGATTAAATTAAGTTTTTGATATCGCTACTTCAAAGCTTCAGTGGCAACATTTAAATGGTGGTCAATTATAGTAGAAGGACTTAATCCTCGATTAACACATAATTGCAGCGTATCCGCAAAACAAGAGATACTTTCACCAACAATATCTTTATTTCTTGTAATGACACTTTTTATATTAGTAGCATTATCATGAATCACAGCACGACTTTTGTCTGTAAGATTCCAATTAGTTATTACACTTTCTATCTTTAATATTAAATTTGATCTAGGATCTTTGATCTGAATCTCGGGATCCGGCTTTGGTATCCGGATAGATCCGGATCCAGGTTGTTCACGTAGAAAAATTTGAATTAGATGCGGATCTGATGCGGATTAAAAAAGAATCCGGATCTGATGTACAGTAAGTAATACCAACTTCGTTTAAATATTCCTTGACAATTCAGGCGACATGAGGACGTGCATTGTCATGCATCAGTATGAAGTTGACACCAATAAATGGTGTATATGGGACAACATAATCCTGTAGTCTCATTTATGTATCAATCCGCAGGCACAGATCCCAGGGGCGATGTACAATTCCTTACGCACCTCCTAAGATATTCCAGCCCACACCATAACTGAACCCGCTTGAAAAGTTAGCCTGGGTCTAAAAGTGTACTCGGCATATCGTTTACTTTCTTCTCTCCAGACTCTTTCGCGCCCATCTGGAGATCGTAAGCAAAATCTGGATTCATTGGTAAACAACACAAAGCTCCAATTCCAATTTTAATGCTCTGAAATATATTCAGTTTGAAAAGGCATTTCATGTTAAAAAATCCTTCAGGATATTCTACTAAACCGTGTTCTTTGTTGGCCAAATATTTAAATTCGAATTAAAAAACAAATTTAAAAATGATTGTATTTTTATCAAAAATTATCGAGTTGTCCCTTTTTCGTGCCCGTGAGTGGGACAAATCCAGTTATTGTATAAATTATGAATTTTACCAAATCATAACCTGAATGTTTCTGATGCAACCTTAAGAGTTCTTTAAGCAGCAGTTGATGCATTTTATAACGTTTAATGTTAAAAAAAATTACACATGCTAATTTTTGTTTCAGAAACTCAAGTGATATTAGACCAAATAAATGGAGACTTCTTAGGAGGAGAACTAAGTGTTATCATGGGACCATCTGGTGCTGGAAAGTCAATACTCCTTAATATTTTAGCAGGATACACGTAAGTTTATAACAATTATAAATATAAACAAATGATAGTGCCAAATAAAATACAAAAAATAAACAAATTAAATTATTTCTACAAAAATGTGTATTTCAGTTTCAACAATTTTTTGAATTAAAAATAGAATTTTTTCACACAATTTTTAAAAATGAAGATGTAAATTAATTCTTAACTATTAAAATTTGAAATGGATATTTCATTTTAATTTAGCAAGTTCAGTTTGATCAAGGGCCACTTTATCTCAGAATATTTTAAAGATGAATTAAAAAAAAAAAGAAATAATATAAAGTTATTTAAAAATACATTCATCAATGAGATAAAAGAGCAAGACATGTTCAAAACTGTCTAAAATTGTTTAATATTTCAAATATATCTGGGCTAGTTTGGATCAACTTTTTGAGCTAAATTTTAAATTTAGATTATTTAGTGGTGGTTTCGGGTTGAGTTTCCAGACACGTGCAAAAAAATAGTTCGCTTGCGGATAGGTTATAGATATTATTTATTAGATATCGTAAATAAGATTTAATTATCTGCGAGATTTTTCGTCAAATAAAGGATTTTAAATTTAGTAAGAATGCTACTTTTCTTTAATAAAATGGAATTCATAAGATATGCAGGTACTTGGGTGTGGTAGGTTACAGTACTATTTTAATAGGATCCACATTTAATGATCAAAACCATTTCCGCTTGAATGGCGTTATCTATGCTTCAATATTTTAATTAAATACTTATTCAGCAAAATATTTCTACTTCGAAAAATAATTATTCAGAAAAAATGAAGGTAGATTGTTTTTTATGTTAATCATCATTAAATAACTTTGCCATTAAAAGCTTAGATACAAGTTTTTCTAGGAACATCTAAATACCTGTATAATCATGGTACATATTATTATTTTAAAGAATTTAGACAGAGGCAAATGGGACCATTCGGACTGGCGCGGGATGTCAATTTTTTTTTATTAATAACTTAACCGTACATTATGTTTCAAGATTTAAAACAAAGAAGACCGTAAAGAATTATATCTAAAGTATTATCGAATCTACATAAATTCCCGTCTGTATTTGATGCAGGGCCTAATCCCTTATTAACCTTTAACGCGCTAAAAACTGAAAAGGTTTGTGGTTTTTTTCTGTGCCCCAAAATATCTCTCTATTTGTTAAAGGAAAGGGTTTTCAGTCTAAAACATTCTATAGCCTGTGCTTCGATATAGGACTTTGAAAGTGGGAATAAGGGTCCCTTCTACCTTGTCTGAGGACAAACATTTTAGTCCCAATTTTCTTCGGGGTTTTTCTTCATCCTCCAACTCCAGTAAGGGTGGTATTCGATCTTCTTTTCAATCCTCAGCTTCTTTGTCATCATGAATAGAAGACTGATGTGTTGGCTGGAAGCTCTATACAAAATAGTGTAGCATGGCTTTTTAGTTTATCTAAGCGATTCTTGCTTCTTGTATGGGAAGCTCTAGATGCTTGATTAGATGATTGTTTATAAAATGAGTCAAGATCGAACTGCTCTCCAGATAGCTGTAAAGATGCATGTTTTCGGGAAATTGCTAATTCTCGTTAAGCATACTACATAAAAAAATATTCTTTTATTAGACATTTATAAAACAAAGTAGCTGGCTGGCTGTGCTGGCATGCCAAATTTCTTTTCTTCTAATACTAATGGCCTTCTAGCAATAAGTAGCTACTCAAAACTTTATACATAATTATATGATCTATTTCTTAAAACACATCTGTTACTTATACATAAACATTATTATTATTATTATTTAAACATAAAAAACAAATTTTAGATAGAAGATATTAACGGCAACACTTCCGGAACATTACAAACGGTTTCTATTCCATCTTTTAGCTTGGAAGAACGAGATAACGTTATAGGCAAATAATATACGTGACAGCTGACCCTGATAACTATTGTACGTAAATGATAATCAATTTTACCTATGAAGTTAACTTATTCCAGATGGAATTACTAGTCGCGTGCACCTGGAATCCAAGAGTAAGGGACTGCTGCTGTACCAGTCCGTCACCTGACCTTTCATTTAAACGCCGTACCCACATACAGTTTATCAAATTTCTAGAGGTGTTCGACGCCCAGACAGAGAACGCGCTACGTGTGACTAAGATAGCTATTGTATAGTCTGCTAAACAAGTTATTTTAAATAGTTTTTAATATTTTTAGGTAATTAAATTTTAAAAGTGTGGAATAGTTTAGGGATTAAATTGGTCTGATTGGACTTTCTTAGAACGTTTTTAAAAGCAGCTAAAGATAGTATGTAGAATTGAAAATAATTATTATGCCATAAAAGGTGTTTTGGAATTCCTTCAACCTTTTGAAATTGAGTCAGAAAATATAAATTTTATAGGATAGCGGAAAATACCTATAATTTTTTTGTAGGCCTTTGTAAATCGTGGAAATAGTTTATATTTTATTTCTACCTTATTAAGGAAAATGGTACCTATTTATTATTAATAACGGTTGTTTCTGAAACATTACTAAAATTTTCGAAATTTTGTTTTTCTACTAAATAATAAACTATACTATTTAGAAAAAAATTTATTTCTCTTATAATTTTATAAAAAATAACAGGGGAATATTTACATTTCTTGATCTATTAAACAAAACGATAAATTATCTCGACGAAATGTTCTAGTACGGAAGCTAGCTTTACATTTTTGTTGGTGGTTTCATGGGTTTCTTATCAATTTTTTGTAATTGTAGTTTACACGTACATATACCTCTTAACACTTGTTTGCTTTAATAAAAAAGTGTGTTGTTGTGATTTACGTCGAAATAAGTCAAAAACAACTTGAAACCCCATATAAAATCAAAAAGGAGAAACAGAAAAAAATTGAGCCTGTAAATGAACACAACTCAGAAACAAAAATAGCTATCTAATAATAAAAAAATAAAATTTGATTCTTGTGCAGCTTCATCTATATCATTAACTGTTTTTGGTTTTTTAATGGTTTTTCTTGGTGATGAAAATTCCGATATCTCACGGTTATCGATTCTTTTTTTCTCTCCAGAAATGCGGACGACAGTGTTTTTAGATACTCCTGTGGCTGCAGCAACACGATCATTTACATTTTTAAATGGTATTGAAGGTGAATTAAAGTTTCCTTCTCTTCTCATAAACTCTATAACATTGGCTATTATTTCGCGAGATTGACTGTTAATCACGCGGCCTCTTAATTTGCTATTAAACTCCATACTTAGGTTCTATTAAACTGTAATGAGCAAAAAACACAAACGAAAATAAAAGAAATGTTTTAGCGAAATTTACATCTGACATTTACGTCTGAATGAAATAGTGAAATACTTGATGCGCATAGTGTACTTTCATTGCGTAAATCCGTCGGGATGCCTGTCAGTAGTGCTTTCTCTGTCTAGCCGTCGAAAGCCTCTAGAAATTTGATGAACTGTACTTTGATTACTATACGATGCAAGAGAGAGATCCGACACGCCCAACATAGGTCGCGGCCATTTTGATGCCTTTACCACAGTTTATAGCTAAATAATCAGTTTGCTCACTCTGCGTCGGCACTTTTGATCTCAATGTTCCAGTTTATACACTGCGCAACTCGGATAATACAATATATGACAACCGCCTATAATAAAACAGCAGTCTTCTGCGTATCCTGAATTTGTATCCCTGTAGTGGATGTTATTTTGGAACTTTCAACTGGTCCGAGTGAGCTAACTGAGTCTTTAGCAATAAACTGTGACTCCAAAAATAATATTCACTGACACTGACAGCAGCAAGCAAAATATCAGGTGCGTTTTAATCATCCGCTTCTGTTTTCGGAATTGTACGTTTAGTCGTTTGAACCTGTCAGATTAAAACAAGAAAACCGACAATTCAGAAGCAGAAGCGGATGATTAAAACGCACCTATTAAAAATATTGCGCCAAGATGTAGGCAACACGTAATAAGGGATCAAAATGGCGGAGTTTTCTATCTCCTTTTAAAAGGCACTCAGAAAGCTGCGCAGTGCGACCATTCTCCGTATAGTAAAAGAAAATCAAAATATGTGGCCGTACCTGCAAGTCAGCCATAATGCTTTCTGAGAACATTTTCACGACGTACATTAAGGCGTTCGGTTAGGTATGATGTTTTATTGGGTTGTATATGTAAGGCACCCGGCCTGTTAAAATTTAAAAGTCCTAAAACGCCTACGGCAGCCGTCCGACGCTATTGTATACAAATTAGTACACGTACGGCAGTCGTCCCACAGAGGTGGTTTTAAGAACCGGACCGGTACGTCACCCGTCATTAAAGGGTTAACAGACTCTGGTTGTCTCTGGTACTGACATGTAAAATCCCAATGCGTTCAGTGATTACGACGAGAGCAGAGAAGTGGGGATGGGGGATCTGACGTCATAAAAGGGGGAAAAGGTACTAAAACAGTAACGATAGTACATATAAGGTCTCCAAATCAACCAGTATTAATGGACCTGGAGGATCTCGTTACCTACATAATATTATGGACTGTTATATAGATTTTATATGAATTTTTATTAGGCCAAATTAATTTTTTCAGGTAGTTTTACAGACTGTTAAGAATTCAATTTGAAATCAAGCTCTTCATGCTAGATTATTCTGCGGCAGCTTTTGGCGATTGTTATTTTCAAAAACCATTCTCATATTCCATTTAGCCTGGCAAGGAAAGGGGCTCAAACGCCCTTTGTGTGACTTGAGCCGTACTGCGGTATCAGCAGTAATGCAATATTAGGAGAGTTTCAAAAAGAATTGGGTAGTGGAAGAAGCAATAATTGGACCAATCTCTTGGGGCTTAGACAGGATAAGTTACTTCTGGGTAAATATAACCAGAAAATAGTGAAAGCCTCTATTTGTCCGCATTATAACAGGGATCATTACCGGGCATTATCGACTCAAATGACACCTTAGTAAACTGAGAGTAGTGGAAGACAGTGAGTGCATATTATTTGAGGAGGACGATGTGTAGCACTTCAGAATCCAAGGGTACTAT